AAAAAAACATGGAAACGGCGAATTACTATAGATTGAAAATAATTATTAAACTATGATTGAAATTATCGACGTAGAATGCTATTTCGTTGTATTAAATTTCAATAGTATTAATGAGAATTTTGTTTGATATTTTAATATATTTCATGTTATTTACAAAATGTACTGTAGTTTTGAAGTTTTGCGCACAATATAGTAAGTGTTAGCACAATTTGGGCAGTTTCAATAGTTTCAATTTGAGCATATATAAAAAAATATATTGAGTATTTTGATAGCGTGCGTAGCCAGGCTTCACGATATAAATATTAAAAACGACTGATAAATAATCATTCATTGCGAGCACAAATAACAGAATATAAGGAAAATTAAAACCAGCAAAGCTTTACCTACCTTGATCTATTTTTCTAAAGCGCTCAATTATGTAAATTTTCCGCGAACACTCAAACATTTTTCTTTACCTTTCTTCGAGCATGAGTGATGAAATGCTCGTCGGAAAAACAACACCGCGGAAAAACGTCTGCGCATGCGTCAACCTTACCTGTAATAGTATTGCGAACTTGATGAGAAGCTGTTCCGAACGTTTCCGAAGTCTCAAAATGGCGGTAAAAAGGAGTGACTTCATTGTGCGTCTTTACAGCCAGATTTCGAGCGCAAAAATGACCATGTCATTCTAAAAGCTAGGAATAAATACAGCCAGAAGGTTCAAGAAATTGTATTGTACAAGAACATGAACTAAAGGTGATTGTTGACAAATTTATCGTCTGAAACATTTTGTTTATCAACTAAGCAACGACAATTTCCGAATTTTCGTTTGCGATACATTTCTTTAAAAAAAACTGTGTCGCCAAATATAAAAAATTTTCGTGTTCACAATAATTAAACTTTAGGATTTATTCTACAATTTGAGTGGGTTAAGAAGCTTAACTTTTCGAGAGTTTTCTTAACTTTTGAGTTTGAATTTTTGTTTTGCTTAATTTTTCAAAAATTTTCGAAGTCGTGTCCGTTAAAATCAACAATTTTTTACATGAATTATATCTCATTCCATACTTTAAATGCCAGGACGCTTTCAATTAATGTCTAGTCTACCCATTTGCTATATTTTCTCGTTTGTTTTACTAATTTTTGACCAATTAATAAGCATGTTTTTGTTTTAGAAATTGATATTCAAATTCCCCGCCATATTTTCATAATTTGGTGCATGCGCAGATGTTTTTCCGCGGTATTCGGAAAAACTCGGTATTTGTCGTATTTTACGAATTTGCCACGTGACCGGTACGATCTGCCACCGCTCACCGCGACACGAAATTTAGAGCTATATGAAAGTTGCATGCCATATATGGCATGCAACAAAAAATTAGTTAGACCAGAAATTTGGCCCGCGGCCCGCAATTGTTTTAACCCGCAGCCCGCAAAACCTGACCCGCAGCCCGCAAAATAGCTAGACCCATTGAATTTAAGCCTTAGTGGCTGCATAGCTCAACATTGTTTTTAATTTCAGCATACACTGACGATGGATGAAAGAGATGATACAGAATTCCCAACTCAAGGACATTTTATCAAGTTATCTCAGGTATTTAATAGCGAGAGAACAACATTTTTATTAATTTGTATACTTTTTAGAATGATAAATGTTATACAGAATTGTTTGAAATAAACTAGCTGGGTAACGTATTGAATACAAAGATGTTTATGTGGAGCCTAGCAAGACAGGTTAGGTAAGCTAGCTCGCCATGCCTATACCAAGGCGAATTCCTTCCATGCTCCTGTTTACATGTGGGCTGGGTAACGTATTGAATACAAAGATGTTTATGTGGAGCCTAGCAGACAGGCTATGCATGCAAGCCAGCTCGCCATGCCTATACCAAGGTGATTTCCTTCCATGCTCCTGTTTACATGTGGGCTGGGTAACGTATTGAATACAAAGATGTTTATGTGGAGCCGAGCAAGACAGGCTATGCATGCAAGCTAGCTCGCCATGCCTATACCAAGGTGATTTCCTTCCATGCTCCTGTTTACATGTGGGCTGGGTAACGTATTGAATACAAAGATGTTTATGTGGAGCCGAGCAAGACAGGCTATGCATGCAAGCCAGCTCGCCATGCCTATACCAAGGTGATTTCCTTCCATGCTCCTGTTTACATGTGGGCTGGGTAACGTATTGAATACAAAGATGTTTATGTGGAGCCGAGCAAGACAGGCTATGCATGCAAGCTAGCTTGCCATGCCTACCAAGGCGAATTCCTTCCATGCTCCTGTTTACATGTGGGCTGGGTAACGTATTGAATACAAAGATGTTTATGTGGAGCCGAGCAAGACAGGCTATGCATGCAAGCTAGCTCGCCATGCCTACCAAGGCGAATTCCATCCTATGCATGCTCCTGTTTACATGTGCGATTTCGGTGACGCAGTCGTCAGAGCAAGCGCCTTTCAGCTGTGATAAGGAGGGTTCGATTCTCGCTACGGGCCCATGTGAGAAGAGTCCGTCAACGCTCTGTTGAAAAGTCGTGGGTTTTCTCCGGGTGCTCCGGTTTCCTCCCACTGGAAAAGTTGACAGGGTGGATTAGAAAGACACATGCAGTTAAGAAAGCAATATCACAATTGTTGCAAAAGATAAAATAGTTTAGGCTAAGTGTATAATACATTAATACTTGATGCAAAGCGCATTTGATCATATCCACATGTAAATTTGCGCTATAGAAATGTTAATCTTAATCTTACTGTACATGGAAGTCGCAGGGAAATTGTGAGCATGGCCCGCATTCTGCTGTGTCGACACTTTCTTTGCATAACATACACTTAAGGAGGCTCCCTACAGTTGCGTGCGGGATCTTCGCGGGACCAGTACGTGAACTATCCCACGCAACCGCATGATCAAAACAAAACAACATTTTCTTTTTAAAAAAAAGCTATTTCTGAAAGGTTTCTAATGGGAAAAAGCGTTGAATAATACTTCATTTTGAGTGCCAAATTACTTGCGAGTCTATACAGCAATTCTACATATGATACGAATACCACTAGACCAACAAATAGCTACGAAACAATGTGTTTTAATGTTTTTAAAATATACATTGTCAACTGTAAAACATTTGCAAAATTGCATACAAACGTTTAAAAAGTTGTTTATTTCTCAAGAAAACGTTCACGTTTTTAGTCGTGTTTCTACAAGATTAAAGTGATTATATGTAAACAGAAAAATATTTCAGTTTCATAGCCTAATTGTTCATTTTTAGCAAAAAGTACAAAACCAAACATGAAACAAAAAAACACGTCCACCTGTTAGTAGGCTGTTACAGCTCATAGATTGAGTAAACGGCAGGATTCAATTAGCTTCAACCTTGTTTTCATCGATTTAATCCTTCACAATAATCCTTGGCTGTCCATAGCACTCAAATAAATCGAAAAGTTGACAAAAACAAAACAGTAAAAACAACATTGCGGCTCGATTTTGCTGAATGAAAACTCGTTCTACGCCCGCGTACAATCTTTTACTAGTCAGCGACGCTTTTCAATAGGGGAATTTCTCGAGTTACACGAGGCTATTTTCTAACTTTATTTGCATTTTACTCATTAGTTTCATCGGTGACCTATCTTCAAATTTTGACCACGAATTTATTTTGCGGTAAATTTTATAAATTTCAAATTTTAAAAAAATCTGTAGTGTGGAAATTTCGCAATAAATATTTCGCTTTTAAAAAAATCACACACTACAGAATTTTTTTAAACTTTCACCACAGTTGCAGAGCATCATTCCTTATTGATATATGAAATAAAAAAGATAGGTCACCGACATCGTTTTTGAGATAGCGGCACATTTATGGGTTAAATTGGAAGGCTTTATGCTGTCGTCATGTTGCCATGGGAACATTGACATCGTCGAAATCTAGTTCGAAATATTCCTTAGGTGACCAATATTGCCACCAAGTCGAAAAGAATTCGCGTTTTGCACGAATAAGCCTGTTTTACGGAATTATTGCTTAAACAAGAATAACTGTAGGGAGCCACCTTAAAGGCCCATTTCCACTCAAGAAAAATTTCCACGGACAGAAAATTTTCCGAAAATGTCATTGTTAAAAGTTGAAAATTTTCAACTTCAAAATTTTTTTCCGACGGAAAATTTGTGTCGGCCAATCACGTTTTACAAAAGTTTTCTTTCCGCGGAAAATTTTCTTGAGTGGAAATGGGCCTTAAGGAATGAAAAAATAAAAGAAATGAGATGAAAAATGTCGCCAGAGTAAACTGGGCCATGCTCAAAATTTCCCTGCGACTACTTTTTACATGACAAGGCTTATATGTCAGAAATTGTGTTGTTGCAAAAATTGCCTCGTGTAATGTGGCCTCGTGTAATATGGCCGTAGATAAGGCGTTCTGAAGCCAACGTTTCAATCACAAAAACGAGGTTCCGTATCCAACGCATTGCACTTTCCGGAAATGTTTATTAGGATTCAGTAAGCTCAACTTGCATGATCAGTCGAAATATGGTGTGGTTCCTTGAAATACACGCTTGAATACATCTTGGGTCTTAAAATACATCTATAATATAGTGTTTAGGTTTGTTTTGGCAAGCAAGCCCTCCAAAACAGTCCCATGCATGGAAACAGTGACATGGATACAAGTCCCTTCGGTAGGTACACTGTATAAGTTGGACGACTTCACGGTGCGCAACTCTTTTAAGTTATTATTTCAGTATTACGGTTTAATGGTTCGATGAAATAGTGCCATTCAACACAAGAATTGTATATTTTCACCGTGCGCAAGCTAGATTGCATAGACATGAACAAAAATATAGGTCAAATACTTTTTACATAGACCGTTTTTCTAGCCTATATATCTTCACTGACTATATACATGGCATTAGAGAGGCTAAGATTGACGTTTACGGCAGACTTCGAACGGCAAACTTCAAGGCGTTTTTTGAGGTCAACTGTTAGCTGTTCGAAGTTTGGACAATCTGTGCGCTAAGATTGAAGCATGAAGTCGCTAAAAACTTGTCGAGACCTTCGAAAACGTGTAAAACGTACCTTTGTTTGCGGTTAGCGGTAAGCCGTAAACGTGAATCTTAACATCTCTAATACTAAACCAACTTTACAGTGTTCACTACTTTCAAATGACAGGAATACGCTGGTCTACTTGGTGATGTAAATTATATAAAGAACGAAGGAGAGCTAAACTTGTTTGGCAGTGGCTCATGGGATACGGTATGAAGAAAATCAGTATTTAGTGTTCGTCATTACTTATTTCGCAGTACTGTACCTCGGCAACTGTCATTTTTCTCAATTCCTATATCGTGCATGCATGGTTGGGTCGAAATTTCGTATTTGAAGACTGCTAATGTTTATAATATGGCATTTGTAAATTCTGAACGCTGATTTGCTACGAGCCGTGTTGATATTTAACAATTATTCGCCGATCGCGAGGTGATTATCGGGGAATATTCTCTGAGACGAAGTCGAGGCGAATATTCTCCGATAATCGCCGAGCCTGAGGTGATTGTGTTTCTTGGGACTGAATTTATTTTAATTTTGCTTATTTCTTTAGCAGTAACTTCCGCAAAATGGGTATTTCGATTTTGTTATATAAATACGTTAAATTTGACCAATCAACTTGTAGGATTTGTACGTCAAATTTGACCAATCAACTTGTAGGATTTGTTATCTTCACTTGTGCAAAAATACTAAACTGTATATCAACACGGAATATGTTTTATATTTGTTAAATATATGTTCTTAATTTAGGTATTTTCCATGTGCGCCAAGGCAGGATTTCTGAAATCATTTTCTGAAAAATCACATATAAACGACAGGTTAGTAAGAGTTACTGTGAAAAGGAAAAAAGACATGAAATGTTCTAAGGGCCTGTTATATGGTAAGCGAGATCTCGCTGTGTAGTTATTTTTATAGTAAAAATTATCGCGCGTTTATATGGACAAGCGGTTGGCCCGCTTGCCGAGATTTTGCTTGAAAGAAGCGAGATCTCGCTTACCAGGATGGAAGTTTCTCCATATAAACACTCACAAGCGGGCTAGCCCGGTTGCCGGGATGAAAGTTCAAAGATACCGCCGCAAGCTATTTTTAACAACTGTCAAAACAATGTCAAAACAACAAATTGTCCCAGCAAGCAGGATGAAATTTTCTCATATAAACACAAATTCATCCCGCTTACTGGGCTGTCTCGGTAAGCGACATATAAACAGGCCCTAAACACTAAGCTAAGCGACATATATAAACAGGCCCTATAACAGGCATAGGCATGTGTCCAGCTTCCATATAAACAGGCCCTAAATGTTAATATTTATAGCTGTTCAGATTTGAATACCGCTTTACCTCTCACTGGCTCAGTGCGCATCTGATTGGTTAATCGGGCAGATTAATCACATGTGATTGGTAATAGCAGCGGTAGTGGAAGCCAATATCACTGCATGAGTACCGTATCAAAATTAACTACCTTTTTTTCAGTCAAATCTGACTAAAAATGGTAGTTGATTGCGTTTGGATTGTGACGTGAAAATATTATCTCTCTTGGAAACTCAACAAAGTAAGAAAAACCTGAACGTACCGCCTTCATTTCATTTCAAAGAGTCAAAGCAATTTTGGGCTGTTCTAAAGGCATGTAAAGCCTAAAATCTGGGACTTTAGCCACGGACCATGCAAAACATTCTGAAAAAAAACTGGTTAATACCATGTCACCCGAAATTCAAGATAAATGTGCATGTATTTTGTTCCGCTATGTGCCGTCATATCGCTCGTTTTTTATCTATAATGACGAACAGTTGTGAAAGAGTTTTGTGCGGAAGCATTTGATGATTTTAATCTAGCCTCACGCTGATGGGCTGATTTAATTAAAACCTTCAAATATTTGTCAAAATAGTGAATACATTTGTTTTGGAATACTCATTTTAAGATGTAAAAGACGCTTAAAGTCGGTTTTAAACGGCGGGTTTTCCACAGAGCGAATTTGTTCGCGCTAAGGTAGTGAAAAATAATTTTCGCCGAACGCCGTGAGGAGGTAGGAGCCGATTCTACTTTTTCGCTGGGAATTTTGCAGTTGGAGCTGAAAGAAGATATAAGTAAAATTTATTCGAAAAAATAAACACGGAAAAATAAACGTGAAAACTTCTGTCCGAATGTCAAGTAAAGGACGAAAATTAAAGAAGTAAGAAATGGTGCATGTATGGGTACACCCCTATATTTTAATGCCAACGGCGTCTTTCCTACAGATGCGGTGTATTTTCGGCGAGAAGTCGAAAAACTCTTGCAAAATAGTTGCCCCTCGGCAATTTTGTGCGAGTGGATAGAGCAAAGAACTCTCTAGACCACGCTCCGTGGAACAAATGCAGTCATTTGCATACGTTATTATATTGTCGTCCGTCTTTATTAGTTTTCTCCGTTTTCATTCGTTTAGATTTTTCCTCGGTGGACCGCTATCTATACGAGGTTTTAAAACTTATGGAATAGGACCAAGAAGACAAAGTAAGCTCAGTTTGCATTGTCTGGTACAGTGATGAATGAAAATCTTCCAGTTGTGCATGTTCCTTTACTCGTCACGAAATTAGAGACTAAAATTGGATAATATTATATGTTATATCTTCTTATTAAATTAGGAACTACTTGTTACTTTCAAAGTTATATTCTAACATTTGTTTGTGTGTGTGTGTGTTTGTTTGTTTGTTTGTTTGTTTGTTTGTTTGTTTGTTTGTTTGTTTGTTTGTTTGTTTGTTTGTTTGTTTGTTTGTTTTTGTCTGTTTTTGTTTGTTTTTGTTTGTTTGTTTGTTTGTTTGTTTGTTTGTTTGTTTGTTTGTTTGTTTGTTTGTTTGTTTGTTTGTTTGTTTGTTTGTTTGTTTGTTTGTTTGTTTGTTTGTTTGTTTGTTTGTTTGTTTGTTTGTTTGTTTGTTTGTTTGTTTTGTTTGTCAGGATGGAAGCTCGTGACAAATATTATTATATTAACTTAAACGGCTTCAAATAAAAGTAGCTTGATATTTCGCTAAGAGCATCATGTTTATTCTTTGGGTCTTCATTTTCTTTCACCCCGAAGCTGCGTTTCTACTATTTAAAACACTCGCAGCCCGCGGTTTATCACTCTGATGAACAGCACGAGGGGACAGCCAGGTGATTTCTATCTGGTACCGGGCTATATGCGAGTGTCGTATGAGTTCATTGGCGAAGTAATTTTAAAAATCAACGTTGTCTAAGCCGAGAAAATCGATCAAAGCTAAGCCTAAAGTTTATGTAAAATGACATGATTTTTATCACATATTTAACATAATTTAATTTTTACCACCGACACCGTAGTGATTTCCTTTTCTTTTCCTCGTGAATTAGGAAATGAATTTTGCAAACAATACAGAAAACTCCGCCTATAAGCCCTTTACTGGGCTGACAGTTGCATCCTGGTACCCAGGGTCTTTCCTCTTAGGGCAAAAGACCCTGGTGAACGCTGGTCACGTGATCTGCTAAAATCTAGCATATTTCTAATTAGCTATCTTGGATTCCTTTACGACAATCATACAAAATGCAAATTATAAATTAAATTAAACTATAAAAATTATCCAAATATCAAATATGTATTGACCTCATCTTGGATTGCTAATTAAAAATCTGCTAGGTTTTAGCAGATCACGTGACCAGCGTCTACCAGGATCTTTTCTTCCCTCGCTAAGAGGAAAGATCCTGGGAACGAGTTTGTGACAGTTGCAGGTTTGGTCAATTTTGGGCTAGCATTTGGTAAGTAGACGTCAAACATTTCGCATATTTACCAAATACTAGCCTAAAATTGACCAAACTTGCCACAAAGTCGGCTGAGTACAGAGCCTAGTTTAGACCTCAAAAATTTATACGACTGCGTGTCCTTAGTGTTTTGGTCTCTTTCTTCAGACGATTCGTTAGGTGGTGATATGTACTGGTCATTAGGACTTCATCTCTATACACCTCTACCATTTCGACCCGGTGGTTTCGCTGAAAGGTTCCGTACTCATATGTTTGCTACTGCTGGGAATCTCGCGCAATTTACTGAAGGTACTGTACAGTATATGGATTCTTTCTTTCCAAAATCTTATGTAAGATTTTTTATGTAAAATCTCCTTTCTCTTCGTGCGAATCATACTCATGAAAAATTCTTATTCGCTGAGGGCAATGTAATATTATTAGTGAGCTTAAGCAAGCGACGTTTTTGGTTTTTTATTGATTGACTGATTGATTGATTGATTGATTGATTACGTTATGTGCTCTTCAATGGAGACGTGTACATATACTAGTAGACTAATTACTAATAAAAAGTATCAAACTATTTACAAAAGTAACAAACTACACATGCAAAGAAACTAATATAAAAGAAATATTAAGATATTTTAGATTTAAACTCAGCGAGAGATTGAACTCTAGTGAGTTTGACGTGTATGTCATTCCATATAGGGTAGCTCCTCTATAGGAAAAACCTTTCTTCAAGGATTCCGTTAAGGGTCTTGGTACAAATGTTTATGATTAGATCCACGCAAACTATGTTCGTGTATCATTGACGTGGAAGTAAATTTTCCAGACAAGTAACTAGGAACTACTTACTTGTTAACAGTTTTGTACATAAAAGTTTTGAATTGTTGGGTACGTCTGGTTTCAAGGTTTGTCCAATTCAATGATGTTAAAATATCTGATGACCGGATGTTATAATCACATTCAGTAATAATCCTTGCAGCCCTATTCTGTAATCTCTGTAACTTTTGTCCAAGACCCTTACCTAGGCTATCCCAGACAATACTACAATAATCAAAGTATGGCTGTGCTAAAGCGTTATAGATCATGACAAGAGTTGACTGTGGGAGCAATGGTTTTAGTCTTCGTAGAACTCCAATCACCTTGGAGACTTTGGAGATTATAGTTGAAACATGATGCTCCCATGTCAAACTCTCGTCCAGTTTTAAACCTAAACACTTTCTTTCAATTTCGTTTCCGGAGATAGCTATATTAGGTTCTTCAGGAATAGTACTTAATTTTTGCCTGGATGCCATAAACATAAATTTAGTTTTAATCGCATTCAGGCTTAGTTTATTCAGGATAAGCCAGTTTTGGAGAGTTTTAAGGTCGTCATTTAGAACAGAAATCAACTTGTTAGGGTTGCTGTCCGCAAAAGTCAAGTTGGTATCATCAGCGAATTTGTCAACAATAGGTATAGTTAATTTTGGCGGCATTTTGCATCATAACGCTTGTGTAAGGAAGCAAATTAGCGAAGATTAGCACAAACTGACACAAAAACAGTTTTTAAACCAGTTCCCCCTCGGAAATCCGAGGTCCGTGTTCACAAAAATTTCGCTTGTTTAGTGGCGAAAAGATATTTTTATGGAAAAAGTCTTCCTGTTAATGATTTATCACTGTGGTTTACCTAGTTTCTCTTGTGGGGGAATTTCATATAGTATTTTCACACATGGAATTTTGTGTGGAATGTCAATAATTTGGTAACAATCTTATGTTTGGCGCACGAATATATTTCAATTTCCAACCTGCGAGCGGGCATGATACTCTGTCTTACGAAATTAGGGGTAACTCTAACCCTATTGTGCGCGAAACATGAGGATCCAGCCGATATTTTTCATTGGGGATGATCTTTTGCGCATTAAGTGTATATGTGATGCGTGCGATCATTAATTATGCATGATATCGTGTTTAATTGACATACTGTAACTCCATAAATTTTCCGGTTACCCTTAGGGGCGGACTATTACAACTTATGGGGGAAGGGGGGAATTCGGCTGCTTACTTGTGATGGAATTTTTTGCGAGATTTTTAAGGTGTTTTTTCCCATGCGACCACCACCCCCATCACTTTTCTAATGGTCCGCCCCTTACACGATTGAAATATTTTATCTGATAACCAATCACTGACCATGAATACGCTACAAAACAATCCTAGATACACCTTGGAAAAAGCGAATAGAATCTCTAGGTGAAAACGTTCGATGGTCGTATGGAGCAGGACTCGTCTTATTGGCTGGGATAGCTCGGTTTGAGTTAAACTACTGCATTTTAGGATGGAACTCTCTTACTGACAGGTAAATATCTATACGTCGGATGTTTTTGTGCAGCATAATTCACCAAGGAAATCTTGAAAAAGATATGCATCATTCTAAACAGTGAACAATATGGGGGGCGTAACCTCGTAATACTTTCATCTATCACATAAAATCGGTTGCTCGGTCTCAAAAAGCGTGGTCACAAAATGGCGGAAATATGAGAGTGATTGCTCATGGATTATATACAGCTATTTCAATCAAGGTTGTCCACTAGCAAAGCGGAAAAGTCGAATACGAGCGCGAAAGGCTGCTGCATGGGAACCGCTTTGAAAATTCATTAATTTGTTAGCAATTCCCAGCAGCCTTTCGCGCTCGTATTCGACTTTTCCGCTTTGCTCATGGACAACCTTAATTGAAATAGCTGTATATCATAGATTAAAATATATACTATACATAATTAATATGTACAGATTTTATACTTTATACTTTTACAAAAACGAATAACAGTGCAAATTATAAATGCAAATCTACAACATTAAATTGTGTACATCCCCAATTTTTATAAAATACAGTAAATCACCAAGGTTTGATAAACATTTTACTGATCTGCTACCCAAGATAATTTGTTTGAACCTCACCCATTTGACAAAAATCCTCAAAATATAAAATCCCGTAGATGAAAGACTATTAAAGGTACAAGTCTGAACTTTTGGATTTTTACATGTCTTCTACCTATTGAAGAGGTGTGGTTCTACCCCCTGGATGAATGGACATGGAATTACCCAAAAACAACTTTATATGCGAAAGAAGGAAGAAATTTGTATCACATTTTGTTTGTTCTGTGACCAAATATATTTTGTTTTGACCGAAATTATCAAACAGTTGCCAAAAAGTCCAAATTTTGCACGGAAAATATTTTGCTATGCACCAGCAGTATACTGTTTACTTCAGTATTGCCTCCCATTAGCAGTTACTCCCATATTTGTCAGCTTCAATGTGCCACGCAAGCTTTCAGTCAAAAAGTATTACAGCAAGCATTCCAGATATATTTATATATACATCTATTTCAATTAAGGTTGTCCACGAGCAAAGCGGAAAAGTCGAATACGAGCGCGAAAGGCTGCTGGGAATCGCTAAAAAATTAATAAATTTATTAGCGATTCCCAGCATTCTTTCGCGCTCGTATTCGACTTTTCCGCTTTGCTCGGGGACAACCTTAATTGAAACAGCTGTATGCATGTCAATGCAATTGGGGCTGGCTACACCTCTGAAGCTGATTTTAGTTTTTATACCGCCATATATTAATTATATTTTTGCTTTCTTTAGTATCAACGCTGGTCTACAATTCGGTGTTGGTATCAACGACTTATAGCGAGATTTTATTTAGATATATTTGAAATAATACGATACTTTCTGTACAAAAATTTGCCGAAAACGGCTTTGATCCTTTATCTGTAATGTGTTATGAATGTATGGTAACTCAGGGCTCTTTTATTCTGAGGTCAGACTGAATTACCGTCTGAGAAATACTACGTGAGTATACTCTTATACTGCAGTCTAAGAACAGTCACGCCGCAGATTAAAGCTGCCAGATTTGAATAGTAGATTCTGATTGGTCAAATTTGGCTGACTCGTGTTATCTTAAATTTAAGTTTTCCCCCGAGCCAACCGCGCGGAGCGCCGTTAAGGGTACTAATTCCGCCCGGCTATTTACACCCGGGAAAGGGAAGCATTAGCGAAGTCTAAAGTTCATCGATGATCGCAGGCGTGGGTCACCAACCGTGGATGATCATCCCATTGGGTCATCCTCACTGATCTCAAAAATATGGCTGTTTTGCTAGGAGTGGGATAAACAAGATTTCAATTTTCAAAAGTATATATTTGGAAATTCACGTTTCGCACAATGAGCTTTGAAGCAATTTTTGTTTGAAGAAATGAGAAGAATTGATTTACTGTGGAAAATCGTGGAATATACGGCAAGTTTGCTTTGAATGTTTAATGTTTATGAATTTTGTTGCTTTAATTTATTGCGTAAAACATGCACTGCTTTCCTTTTCAATGAAGCTGTATTATTAAAAGTTCGCTGAATTACCCGGTTTAATTTATAAAATGTAAAGGAGAGCAAATTAATTTGAAAACCGATCTGAAATTATTCAACAATTTGAACTTATTTTGTTTTATTAAGTAAAAACAGTTTATCTCAAAAAGCAGTTTATAGTTTAATATTAAAATGAACATTTCAAAACATTTTAAATTAATTTTTCAAACAGGTTAAATTTTAAATTAAATGAAAACTCACAAAATACAGAACAACATACCTACAGTACATATTTCGGAAATTCATTGTTCTATAGTTAGAAGCAATAATCTTTCAACTATTTTGGCGTGTTGTAAAAAAATATAATAAAAATAGGTACGCGCTGCGTACATGTGGGTAGCCTGCATTGTTGCTAAAGCTCGAGCCAGAATACGAGTGACAAAATTGCTGCAACTCGTAACAAAATCTAATTTCAACGCATGTTAAGTAGAAATGTTGACACATGTTGCCTCGTGATTTGTAATGTATGTGTAAACATTTCAATTTATACAGGCGCAGAAATCAAATCTTGTTGCAAGTTGCAGCAATTTTGTTGCCCATATTACTCCACCTTAATCGCTATTGTCAAATTCTGAATTTACGGAAAGAAAGTATTAAGTAAATTGGACACAGTTGAGATATTATACACACATTTAATGAAGACAAAGAAACATAACAAATAACTAGGAAACTGCATATTAGATTTCATTTTATTGTCTGGCGGTCTACCGGATATTATTTTTGTAAGTTCAGGCCATCTTTTCTGGTTAGAAAATGATTTGATATATTAAAGGTTGAAAAAGTAGGGGTATTTATCATATTTTTACTTCAATGATAACAGGAAGGCTTACAGTATTTTCAAGATTTTTTATGTTTGTTTGTAAATGCAGATTTAACCTTTTAACTAACGTGAGCGAGGCCTTTGCATGTTTACTAGTGTTAGGCTGTGTTCATGAGTTCTTTCCTGTTATTACAAATCAAAATATTATAAACACCAAATATTATTAACACCAAAATTATTAGTTAACATTAAATGAGGGCCGAACCTTATATATTTGAATAATACACACATATTCAAGTTGCCACACAAAACAACAAATTAACATTTTCATCTAAACTTATACCCACGGTCCGGCCTTGAAAACACAAGCATGGCATACAAAGGAAATTGGAATTCAACCCTCCTATACCCCCATCTCATCGATCTCTCAGTACATTTTACTATTGTCGGTCTCAGTAGATTGTACTCTAGGACCCCCCCCCCTCCCCCCCTCAGGATGGCAGAAATTTCCATTGCGTCTGAAATGGTTAATTGTGAAATATGACCCTCTGATGTTCTAGTACGACATAGTAAAATAGTGAAGTACTGAAAGTAACCTGCTTTTTATCTTAAAAATGGGTTAATTAACACAAAATGTGGACTGACTTAAAATTTTAAGTCCACCAACACTTTCCCTTTGACGAGCAAAATCACCTGCAGGGGCTGGTTGTTTGAAAACCGATAAGCTAACCTTAGGTAATTAAGCAAACTTTGGTTGTATAAAAGTGTAGTTAGCCTTAACTGCAGTTAAAAAGCAGTTAAAGTTAACTATGCTTTAAGCCCTGGGTAAACTAGGAAACATTGTTGCGGAAACATTTGTGATTTTCGATGTTTCCTCAAATGTTTCCATGTTTGCCCACCCGTGGAAACATTATTGCGGAAACAAAATTTGCTTCCCGGGAAGCAAAAATGTTTCCTACAAACTTTAGAAACATTTGATGTTTCCCTATGTTTCTCACTAACGTTTCCTACTGTTTGCCCACTCTGGGAAACATGGCGAAACATTGGTAGGAAACAATGTTTCCGCAACAATGTTTCCTAGTTTGCCCGGGGCAAAACGTAGTTAAAAATGGCGTTTGTATAGGAGTGAACAACATTTTTCAGTAAAACAACAATGAAAAGCAACGGTTACCTGAGATTTTCAATCGCTATCTTCCCTGTGAATGTTTCCTGACAATATAAACTCTTCAAACGTTATCGCTTTGGTGTTTTTACGAAAACAGAACATATTTTTGCACAGGACGATTTCTCGAAGACGAAGTATGGTCCATTACACCAAGAAACACTGATATTAATTGCCAAACAGCTATAACTTGGTTTAACGTAGACATCTCAAGGAAAAACGACATTCCTTTATGATTTTTGTGGCGCTTTTTCCTTGTTTTCTTGTTTATTTTTCACTGTTTTCTAGTGTTTTGAATAAAATTCCTGCGCGCCTATTTGCAAAATACGAGTCCACAATCATGTTGAAAATGTCTTTCAGCGGTCGTTACTCCCTTCTTACTTTATGTAATTTTGTGTTTAAACGCCCCACGCACAGTTAACTACGTGATTAGTTAACGACCCGACTAACTACGTTTTGTGCAACGCAGTTAAGTCATGTAGTTAGCTAATTGCAGTTAAGGATTTAACTACAGTGATTAACGCTAACTACAGTTAGCGCTAACTACGTTTTTATACAACCGGCCCCTGGTGTTAGACTGAAAGTAAAATAGAAATTAAAGTAGGGTATGTAAGTGCTAGTGGTAATAATGGTCTGAAATTGAAACAGTATTTTTTCTCAGTATCGAACAGGGATACCAGGATTCAAAGTTTAATATCCTCCTGAGAATCCGGTATCCCACCGGCACCATGCATAAGTATTACACACTGTCCCATCCAAATAAGTATCCATAATTAACTGTCTCTGCTACAAATTACAATAACAACAGGAGACTCGACAGTCAACAACTAAACAATGCATTGATATACTAAAATATGCGCATAATCTTAGGGAAGCCTCACATATCGATTTTTTCCACGAGAAACGTCATATGTTCGTTTGGGGGGGGGGGGTTGGCAGCTGTGCCGTTT